CAACACCAACACAACTAGAGATCACGCTTCAGTGGAACCGAAGGAGGGTGCATAGATTACACAAAGTATGGTGAGATCGATCAGCAAATATCTTCGACACAAACTTTATGATACTTTATGATAATTATAGTAAATGCGAATAACAATAATAATGCAATTTTTACATTTACTCTTCTTTCAAAGACATGTTTACGGTCAATTGGACTAAAGTAGACAGCCCAAGTGTAGAAGTGGGCATCGAATACTGCAGAACGAACTGGGCATTGGCTTCCATGAAAATGGCTTTGAGTGATTGAAAGCACAGATTTACCTCTACATTTCCAAAAGAGGCGTCGACGGCGCAGACTTGGTCTTCTCTAGGAAGGCTGAGAGGGACCGACTTGACGGTAGACAGCAACATTAACGACTATCGGACATCAAGAGGACACTTTCAGGCCCTTTTATGTAACTGCTTTCAACGATGTCGTGTACACTTAATGGCTTGCGTCACGCCCATTTCCTGTCTTGAAAGACCCATCGCGATTATTTTTCGAAACTATCGTCATTGCTTGAAGAATAACTTTACCTCTTAAGGTAAATTGAGAACAATTAGAGGAGTTTCTACCACAATTATACACAAAGGCATCTCGATGCCATTGAGTTTTACTTCGCTTTGACCCTCAAGATGTTTTCCCCTCCAGACTGAACCGCACCTTCAAGGGGCTTTGAACCCGAATCGTTGGCACCTTGGCAACAGCCTATCTTTCCACTGAACAGCCACAGACGCCAGTTGGCCACAAGGCAGATGCGATTTCCAGGGCTAGTCGGGTTTGACGAGACAAGATGCAGATTGAGTTACTTATATCCGGTATGAGTATTTTGCAAAATTATAATTAACTCTTAATTTAAGAACTTAATATATGCGAATTAAAGTTTGGTTGTGTCTTGTGATGGAATCGTTTGACTAAACGCTTTCACTTGAAATGAGCATAAACTCAACCGTTAATAAATTAATTACTTTAGATCTTGAAATTCTACTTACATATGAAAAATACTCTTGGTCACTTGGTCGATTCCAGAAGTAAGAATAGAATTTTCCCACAATGTTATGACCAGATTGAGGGATGCACTACATACCTGGCTCAACTTATCAGAGTAAGGATGATGGCTTAATGTCAAGGCCTTCAATATGTCCTGACTGAGTCCGAGGTACAGCACAAATTGGAGCGCGAAAACCGAAGAAATGACGGCGAATTACGGGGCCAAAAATTCGCATTTTGCCAACTCTATCCAAGAGCTGGTGCGCCAACCAGTAGCCCAAAGCTGTTTGCAGCGCGACTAAAGACGCGGAGAGATTTAGACGCTACAAACGCTACAGGCAGATGTGACTTTCAAGCAAAAGAAGGCCTGCTTTAGACAATTTCAATGTTGAGTACAGACTTTTGATGTAATCTAGCCTCCGTATCGGCCCCAGAGCGTAATTACGTCGTCGACCGTCTGGCATTTTAAGGTCTGATATTGCGGTCAGCACCATAAAGCAAGATTCGATTGTGGCTGCCATGCCAACCCTCGAGTAGATTTCATTAAGACGTGATTAATCTAAATAACCACAGGGTAAGAATAGTAAGAATCTAGTGCACATTTCCAAAGCTTACGGCTACCATTCGTGAATTTATCCTTCTATTATGTCTTGCAGATGTACAGGTGCACCTAGTTTGGCTGGCCCTGTTTAGCAACCATCATCATCTGCGAAGATTAATATTAGCATTCAAGCCCTCCGCCCTTGGTTGATGCATTTTATTTTAGCCTAAAAAAGTCTGTAGCCACATACAATTCTCCGGTCATATGTGCCGGCCTGTTTTGACGGAAAATGCATAAGTTTTGCCACAACTCTCGTCAATACACAATTAACCAGAAGCACACATAAAGCATCCACTCGCTTATATTTAAGACGCCATATTAGAGAACATGTGTGAAAGTAGTACGGCCTGTTGTGCTTGCAAGTATGAAAAGACAGATTAGAGTGGAGCGTGGAATTATGGTACTTATGATTTGCTTGCCCTGGTTCTGCGGCACCTTTTTCCAGCACACAATGCCCAGCGAAATGGAGGTCATCATATGCAGGCAAGAGGGGCAGTCTTCGTAGAGTCACCTTGAGATCAGGACAGTTATGGAGGTGCACAAAGTGACTCTTCAATCGCTATGAAGGGCCTGATTTCAGAAAATTTCCTCAACTTGCCACTGCCTTGGACACTCTGTTTTGTGCGAGATACTGGCTGACAGGGACTCGTATTTGGACACACCCGAAGACAAGCCTAGTGCACATTTTGCAGTCCCTCATAACGATTACACGAATCCAAAAGGTTCTCCTCTTCCAGACTTAACATCAGAGCCAACTTCTGCCAGGACGAATCGGGACTCGAACCCTGAACGTATGCAATTCAGGACCATGCAGGCTGCTATTAGCTCGGCTTTTTGTGCCAAACTTCATTCGGATTAGCGACAGACCGTTTGCCAGGACACTCGATACATTTCTGCAGGGTTCTTAGTATGAATTTGCTTTGGGCCCCCTGGCTGATTGCAATTCATAGCATAGCAAGGGTTGTCTTGGTTGCCAATTCGAGTCCACTAATCCCAAGAAGGCAGTCCTGAAGCATATTTTTGTGAAATTATCCACCCAAAGTGAAATAGCTTATCTAATGGGTCATTTCAATGTCACGACAGACCATTTGAATGGCCCAAATTTGGTCAAGAAAGTAAAGTAGGGTTGTCTGCCACAAGGTGGGTCGAAAACCCAGTCCAATAAGGAAATGAAGGGTGCAGAGGAGTGCATAGCGGAGGATAAAACTGCAACTATGTTCAGTCGTTAAGCTGCCTCATTTTGAACTTACGTCTTCTTGGCGAGTCTATTCAGGATAAATGTAAGAAAATGTATCATCTTTTGCCATAAATTTTGCATTCCCTTATGCCTTATCTGGAATTTGAAGCGCAGAAGTGAGGGGTTAACAAGAGAGCACATTAGCCCCATTACATTGTATGAAAAGATTGAGTTTCAAGGGTAAGCAAGCCTCTCAATTCACATTTTTTTGAGGAGAAATTGACATCGTTAAAAACCACATCTTTGCCCTAAAACTAAATTGACTACTGATTTAAGTAGTTTGGTAGCAGTCATGCCTCCGAACCGGCAAGAAACTGATTGTTATGCCTTATGAGCTTACATGTTTCCCAATTAATCCACACACCCACTTCTTATGATAGCTTTGAGGCTATGAGGTTGAGACGACAGTCAGACATGTATGTGTAGCATTTCTCCTCCTGCTTTTGGACGAAAAAAGAAAGTAGGCTCGTTAACAGTCAGTCTGTTGATAGCCCAAAAATGAATGTCGTTACTTATTATGGATATAAGTAGATTCTCAAAATATCAATCAGTCTTGGATAGGAGGTTGGTCAGTCTAGGTTGCTTAAGGTGATTTAAAGGCTGACAATTGAGTTTCACCACATGTATATGAGGCTTATCAGCCCCCCACCTTTCCCCAGTGGGATTTAACCCTGGTAGGGAAACTCGTGGCAACGTATACCACTCCACTAAGCAGCCATGGGGGCCAGTGAATCAAAAGACAAATGCGGCATTCAAAACAAGTCAATCATCTGCTAAATCACATTTTTGATGAGATTGTCGATTAAGCAAAGATGCATCTGCCGCTACAATTGACGACGTTACTTATTCTCTATATAAGTAGGTTTCGCGACTATCAGTAATGTTTTGATGAGAATGCAGTCAATCGAGGTCGGTTAAGATGATTTAAGGAATGATTGTTGAAATTATCCCACAATGAGACGGGTAGTTCTCACGATGCCATTAAATAGCAAGCTCAGTTATCAGTCCTTAAGTCAACTTAATCTATCTGGACTGAATAATTTCAAAATCGACAACCTACTTTTATTAAAAATAAGTAATATTTTTCAATTATAAACCATTCACTTCGCACTCGTTCCATTTTTATTCCGTTACTATTTACAGCATTTAACGCAGCTTGTATCTTATCGCTGGTAATAGAATAAAACACTACGGGTAAACCGATAGGGGGCACATACTACTAATATACTACTTAAATAAGCAAAAGTAATGGTCTATGGAGAATACTATCGTATGTGTCGTTTTACTTTCCAAAAAAAAGACTGCGGGTCGAGCTATCTTTACTATCAACCTTGCTTACGCTAATTCTAAGTTTATCATACGAGCTAGCCTCACTGGGAAGTAAGGGCCTCAACCTTGCACTTGAGCACAGGTTGGACGATTCTAGACTGGTAGTTAATTATAGCTTAAAGGAGGCAGAAGATTTCGACGCACCGGGTAAAATTGTCCCACAATGAGATGGGTAGCCCTCACGATGCCATTAAATAGCAAGCTCAGTTATCAGTCCTTTAGTCAACTTAATCTATCTGGACTGAATAATTTCTAAATCGAAAACCTACTTATATTAAAAATAAGTAATATTTTTCAATTATAAACCATTCAATTCCCACTCGTTCCATTTTTCTTCCGTTACTATTTACAGCATTCAACGCAAATTGTGTATTATGGCTGGTTAAAGAACACAAAACTACGGTTAAACCGATAGGGGGCACATGCTACTAATATACTACTTAAATCTGCGAAAGTAATGGTCTGTGGGGAATACTACTCGTATGTGTCATTTTATTTTCCAGAAGAAGACTGCGGCTTGAGCTATCTTTACTATCAACCTTGTCCACACTAATTGTAAGGTTATCATACGAGCTAGCACCACCGGGAAGTAAGGTCCTCAACCTTGCACTTGAGCACAGGTCGGACGATTCTAGACTGGTAGTTAATTATAGCCTAAAGGAGGCAGAAGATTTCGACGCACTGGGTGACCAAGTGGTATGACGAGAAGGAGGACTCTCAGAGGCTGCAAAAATCGAGGCACCTTGACAAAGCAAAACGGTTGGCAGAGAGAAACGAAATGGGAAAGAGAAGAGAAGTGCGAAAGAAAAGTGGCCACAAGGATAAACAGGCCATGGGCGGGACAGTCGGTGCCAGCAGGGAGCTTTCCGATCGCTCGGGGCCTGTCTGCTTTAAATTAGTTGAATGTGTATAATTGTACCTGCAGGGCGAAAATGTATTCTCCTCCGTCGGCGCAAATTGGTAACAAGTCGGATTTCCCAATGGCCTAGCCTCGAGCATGTCATTCGAGGTAATCATATAGAAGCGTCGGTTACATTGACACAGCAATCAGGACTGCCCTCTTGATAACTGATATAGGCATAGATGCACACATCAATTCACAGTCACAAAAGCATAAACACACAAGAAATGTGCATTTAAGTATGCAGATGGGTGTTGCCAATTAATTAAATAAGTGCATACCGAAGGACATCCTGTTGGTAAGACGTCTGCTT